TACATCTTATAAATAATCTTAAAGAAGTAATTCAGTTAAACTATATTTGTACTTTTTATTAAATCGTTCTCGAAATTTTAATTTAAATAAGAAAGCTTTTTAACGTAAACTTCAATTTCTATTTTAATACAATTTTTTAATTTAACCTCTCTCCTAAAATTATCTTTACAAAATTTGCTAAATTCACCAGGTAACGCCTTCGAATACTAATTATATGATCCTCACAAACGGGTTACGTTAATGTTTTGGACTTCTATAGACAATAATGGATGTTTTACAAACGGTACAAAATTTGTAAAATAAAATGCTTATACGCTGTTTGTTTTAGTTCTGTCAATGAAAAAGTCTGCGACCAGACAACGAACCACCGCGATAGGGGTTGAAACAACCTCCAATAGTTCAAGTTTCAGTTAGTATTTGTAACCATGGCTACACGGTGAAGCATGGCCGCTCGATTAACAGTTTGCGAACGAGCGTTGCGCAGAAAGGTAATCAAGTACATGGAATGCTGGTGAACCAGGTAGTTTTTGTTGTAAGTAGAATTATAATCATTAAATTCGCCTGTGCTTTCATCGGACATTGAAATTTTACCAAGCAATGCTATCAATTTTTAACACTTCCGGTTCAACCATTCCACGGAAAACTTAAATTTCTTTGTTTTCCAAACTATTAGAAAGTTTCAAATCTCGTTCACGTTACAATGTACGTTGAAACTTAAAATTTTACAATTGAATCGAATATTTGAAAATTAACTAGAGGAAAAATATATAATACATAAATATAGTACAATGATTGATTGGTTGTTCGTTGGATATAGCGTGACAAGTATTAAAAAGGAATTGAAATTCTTCAGAAATATATTGAATTTCGTTCGATATTAATAAATGATCATTGAACTTACATTATATCTGCCAATTTAATTCTAATATTAGAAGGAAGTTAGTAGTATAATATATTAACGTAATTTAATTCAATTGTGTGAGAATTAAAAACATTTTATTTCGAAATAGATATCCTATCGCTTCCAAGAAAGCTCCATTATAAAATACAATGTATAGTATATAAGCAACATTAACTGAAGACATAATGGCGGCAATAATAATCTGTAAGGCAGGGGTGTAATTTTTAATAGAAGGTCAAGACTTTCGCGGTGACCTGTTATACACACATACGCGCGCGCACGCTCACACACACACAGATCGCCATCGAGGATACGCGTTTTCTTGAATCGTGAGACCCGAAGAAAATCTATATCCTCGCATGACTGACCTGTCACGGAGATTGCCGACATGCGAGCGTAAGAAAATGCTAATCTCAATGTGGCCTGGATTACCAGGTTCTCCAGTTTGTAGGACAAAGTGATATGTTAATCCTCCCAAGACGTAACTGGGTTATCAAACGACTGGTCGAAACTGTTAACGGTAACATTTTCCACGAATAGCGTATTTACACTATCGAATTGACATTGAATTAAAAAGATCGGAAAAAAAGTAGTTAGATACGTGTAAGCATATTGCCAGGTATATGTATGTTAAATGCACTATGAGATAGCAATGTAACGTCATTATACAAACTTCCGTGTCATTAGTTTGTACGTACTTGTTGTTTGTTTTATTGATATGTTACGTAAGCTAGCAGATGTATAGGACATTGTAACACCATGTGACAGACCGATTGTCCGCGATGGGTACATGGGGAAAGGGGGTACATAATTATCACCTAATAACATCACGTTGAAAATTTATTGGATTTATAGGACCGGAGTGTTAAAGTTTGAGAGTTTTAGAATGCTAGATTTCTAAAGTTTTAAAGTTCCAGAGTTCTAGGATTCGAAAATCTTAGAATTCCGAAGTTTCAAAATTCGAGAGTTCCGAAGTTTAAAGATTTCAAAGTTCCCGAGTTCCAAAATTCCAGATTTTTAGATTTCTAGAATTCTAGAGTTTCAGTATGCTTACCTTTCGAAATATTAGAATTTCAGAGTTCTAAATTATCTGAGCACTAGAGATAAAAAATTCCAGAGTGCTGGTATACTGGAGTGTCTACCAGTGTTCTGGAGTATCAGAGTGTTAAATTATCATCATTAGTTGAGAAATAATTTTCTTCTAATGTTCAACACAGCGCTATACAAATCTGTCCTTCTGTTTCTGAATCAATTTCAAATGCGCGGAAAGACCAAGTAGAAGCTTCGGTTTTTCGCTATTTATTCATGTGCACAAAAGAACATAGAGTACACGTGTCTTTAGTAAAAATCCGTTCATCGATCCAGAAAGTAACAAGTGTCATTGTTTGGAAGTAATTGAAGTTCCATAATCAACCTGCATAGCTGAACGCGACCGTGCATGTTGGTACCAGTATAATGATTCATATTTCACGAACGGTATGTCAGCGTTTCACGACGATCGCATTTCCGTTAGCGACAAAATGAAATTTTAATTTGGTGGTAACCAACTTTCAGTCGTTGCACAGCTTGAAGCGTGTACAGCCTTTTCACAAATCAATTTCTTCAGCGTAGATCTCTTTTCCAATAATAATAATGTCAGTGTACGTAACGTAATTGATTTTATTAAAAGTTTGACCTTAGATAATTTTGAATCAGGGTTCATAGACACGGTCAGGTTTAAACACAGAGAAGAAATCATTCAGAATATATCATTCCCTGTTGTTCCATCCATGAAATCAGATAAGACTCGAGGGTATTATAAATTTATTAACACATGAAAATTAGTTTATCATAATCGATTATCAGCCGCAGGGTTATCTTTTATAAATGATAACTGAGCCTAAAATCCTCAGATAAAATTATCTCCTATTTTAAAGAGAACGGTATTAACAAACATTATCGATTACGATGATCGTTCACGTGATAACAACGAAGCTGACACATGATTTTATTTTCATCTATGTAGATAAAGTGATTTTAAAACAAACTTTCCAATGTGAGATCTTATGTAACACAAATAACGAGCAACCCACTTGAAATGTTTATATCAAAATATATTTTTCCCCTTTCCATAAAGAAAAGTGAATATCTTTAATTTGCACGCATTATTCGTCGCAAAATTTAGAATCAGACCTATCTTGAATTATCGGCGAAAATCGATATCGTAACAAATCGTAAATAGACTATACGAAAGGTCGTCGGATATTCCGTATTAACGGTGACACGCGGACAATTCAATATCGCGATGAAAGCAGTCAGACTTGTCCGCATCACGACACGTGGTTACATAGATAGTAACAATACATGTACAGTTGCGCTCGTTAATATCCGGCCACTCTTTATAACAGTAGAACTTTTTTCAAATTTAACTAAACGACTTGTGTTTTTTTGAGAAGTTAGTAGGATTAATTTACTAGATAAAAGTCCCATTTTATAACTTTTTTTATCTGAGCTTGTAGTGAAAATTTAGAACATACGTTTTGTAGACATGTACAGTTGCGCTCGTTAATATCCGGCCACTCTTTATAACAGTAGAACTTTTTTCAAATTTGACTAAACGACTTGTGTTTTTTTGAGAAGTTAGAAGGATTAATTTACTAGATAAAAGTCCCATTTTACAACTTTTTTTATCTGAGCTTGTAGTGAAAATTTAGAACATACGTTTTGTAGATTTATGTCAATTAAATACATACTGAAAATTTCATCGAAATAGGTTAACGTTGCTATGAGCTATAGTCAGTTAAAAACCGCACGCACGCGCGCGTGCGTGTGTTGTGTGTCTTCGACCCCTGCAAAGGGGTGACTCTATATGATGAAATAAGTCGAAAATGTAGAATAACATTTGTTCAAAACGAAGCTACGTGTCTAAATGAATCGATTTTAAAGATTCGTCGAGTACGCCTGCATTTACACATAATCTCACTTGTATCTATGTTTAACAAATTTCACTGCAAACTATCTGTATTGCTGTTTGGGTTTATCACGTTAGATAATGAAGCATAAGCACAGAAATAAAAGTAAGAACAAACATCTCTGCTGAATCGATCGTAATGGTAAAATAACTTAGCCATCATGATCCTTGCTTTTGAAACAGATGGATTTTTATTTCTGAAGCAACGTTAAGTCTCTTATGTACTACGACGAGAATACAAGAAACTGGAACTCTGCAATTTTGGAATTCAGAAAGTCCCGAATTTTGAAACATAGGAACTCTGGAATTTTTGGAACTCTGCAAATCTGGAATTTTAGAATTCTGGAAGTTTGAAATTTTGGAACTCTAGAACTGTATAAATATATCACTTTAATACAAGCATGTTAATATGCAGAACGATATCGATGACCTTGGAATGACCTTCAAGGTAATCTTGGGGAAACTTTTTTTTATCATAAACTCCTTTAAACATATTGTCTTACTTCCAGTAGCAGCAAAAATAATTTAGATGTACATGATAAGTCGGACACCCTGTATATTACGTAATTATGATTACGGTTATCAGGGATATTGATAGTCGTTCAATGACTCCCACGGTCATCGATAATCTGGAACAGAGAAACCTGTTGAGATGTGTTTAATTAATTACTAAGTGATCAAACGTAATCAATTAAAAACATGAAGGACCAAGATATTATATAATCCCGTGACTTCGTACTGAAAATAACAAACATTTTTGAACGAACTGAAAAAATTTTTATGAAAAATTCTACTATGAAAAGTGCAAAGAAATTGAATAAAATTTAAAGGAATGTTTAAAATAATAATCTGAACTTTGTTTAAAATTCGACACGAACTTAATATTTAAAAAAGAAAACTAATGCCTGTTTCAGAGAATAATATGATGTTTCGAGAGTGTCCTGACACGGAAGATCAGCTGGCAAGCTGAAGAAATGTTGTAAGTCTTGGACAATCGAAGCGTAGATGACCATGAATCGATATATAACGTTGAATCAATTGGGCGACGGAACGTTCGGTTCCGTTGTTCTCGGGGAACGTATCGATACCGGCGAAAAGGTTGCTATAAAAAGGATGAAGAGGAAGTATTACTCCTGGGAGGAAGCGATGAATCTGCGTGAAGTCAAAGTAATAAAGAAGAAGCAATAAAAAGAAACTAGAATGATGAAAAGATTAGGAAATAATTGTAACGCGTTCTATTGTAGTCCTTGAAGAAACTCAGTCACGCGAACGTGGTCAAACTAAAGGAAGTAATTCGCGAGAATGACGTGCTGTATTTTGTCTTCGAGTACATGAAGGAGAACCTTTACCAATTAATGAAGGATAGGTAAAAGTCGCTTATTATACAATGACGTTGATTGATTGAAATCACGGTGTGCTATAAAAATTGTTTTCTAAGAAAATAGATTATTGCGTGCTTGTCAATTAATCAATCCTCATATGAATTCACGAATCCACGTTGTGTAACAGGGACAAACTATTCCCTGAATCGGTGATCAAGAATATAGTGTACCAGGTGCTGCAGGGGCTGGCGTTCATGCATAAACATGGATTCTTCCACCGCGACATGAAACCAGAAAATTTATTGTGCATGGGACCGGAACTGGTCAAGATCGCCGATTTCGGCCTAGCCAGAGAAATACGGTCAAGGCCGCCCTACACGGATTACGTGTCCACCAGATGGTAAGATTTATGGCACAAAATAAAAAGTGTAATCCTGACAAAACATTAAAACTGGATACTTCTGAAGATATTTTGAAAGAATTAATTAGAAGAAATTTTTAAATTCCATGAAATTTTAACTTCTTCTATTTATTAATAGTATTATTATAATATTCGTAATTAATTCAAACAATTTCTTTCAGGTACAGAGCACCGGAAGTGCTCCTGCATTCGACCACCTACAATAGCCCGATTGACATTTGGGCGGTGGGTTGCATCATGGCGGAACTGTACACGTTTCGACCACTTTTCCCTGGTAAAAGCGAGATCGATGAGATCTTTAAAATATGTTCTGTAATTGGTACTCCAGAGAAGGACGATTGGCCAGACGGATATCAACTAGCCGCAGCTATGAATTTTAAATTTCCAAATTTTTCTCGTACATCGTTGAGCATTTTGATACCTAATGCCAGCCAAGAAGCAATAATTCTTATGGAAGACATGTTACAGTGGAATCCTATAAAGAGACCAACGGCACAGCAATCCTTAAGGTAGCTAAAATTGTCAAAATTATTTTGTAAGAATTAAATGGAGAAAAATGGACAAATGAAAATATTTATGAACAATAGTGTACAAAAGATTATTCATAAATCTGTTCTTTTTTTCCAGGTACCCTTATTTTCAAATGAATCCTGCGCGTGTAATACATAGTAAAAAAATCGGCGTCACGTCTCACAGGGATCTTGTTCTGAACAAAGTGAATCTTCCGCCTCCTGTTCCTAAGTCGTACAATTACTCCCAGCAAGATATCCTGGAACACACCTTAGAAACCAGGTAAGATTATAACACTTAAAGCATTTAAAAAAGAAAGGCTCAGGATTTACACTAGATAATATAAAATAAAGAATTAATATCACTATGTTCTTAGAAGATCTTATAAACTCGCTTTAAAAAAAAAAGACACCACAGATCTCCTCACAGTTATCCCTTCCACGATCTATTGTGGGATACTCCGGTTAAATGAAAATAAAACACTTTTATATAAAAAAAAGGTAGCTGTATAACGCAATTTACCAATTATTCAATTATTTTTTTGAAATAACTTTTTCCCAAAAGCTTTGTAACGTGATTCGTTGGCATGATGAATATTTTCCACTTGCAAAATGTTATTATCAAAATATAATTGCATAATTAATAAATTGCTTTCTTTTTTTTTTTTTTTTTAAGGAAAAGTGTTTTATTTGAATTTAATCTCCTCATAGAAAATCGTCACATTCTATTGCCACACTTAGTATAAAGATTAATATTTCTACTCTTGTGAATTATAGAGCTC